ATAATGACCTTTATCACAATATGCTAATTTTTTGAGAAGGACCTGTAGATACCCTCGTACAGATCACACCTACGCACCCGTGTAGATGCAGTCCTTGGTGTAAATATGCAGCTGAACATTTGTCTTGGTCTCATTTCCTGGATAGCTCACTAATTTGCAAGACCTTTTAAGTAACCAAAGTTTTTGGTACTGTAACATTTAATGCATGTCAGTCTATAGGTTTAATTCAAGCTCTAAGCCTACATAACTTTTCTTGTATGAAGAAAAAAATATGGAAAAACAAACATTGATCCTATTTAGAGAGGTGTCTCAAGGCCATCTGGTCTCACAGATGTGACTTCACTCTGTATGATGTCTCATTTCCTGGCTTACAGAAAACACAAGCGAACAACTATTCAACACGAGGTGGTAAAATCAGTCAAAGCTGCCTGCCTCTGTTAAAAGCAGCTCTCTGTGTGCACAAACTACTTAATGCTTCTTTCTTCTATTGACTATCCTCTTCATTAAATAAGTTTAGTCGTTTAGAGAAACGGACAAGTTCTCAAAAGAACCATTAATGCAAGTTATCAAATTTCCAGATTTTTTTTCTTGCTTTTGCACCACTTGCTTTCTTCAAAGCAGCAAATGGACAATCCTGAACATAATATGGTGCTTTACTTTATTAAAACAAGATACCTTACAACTGATACAAACACTTTAATGCACTAACAAAGACAAAAAAGTCAAAAGTTAAATGATGAAAAAATGTCTATGGGTGCAGAAAACCTTAATATCAGGGTTTTCATACAAGTACAAATATATATAATTTCACCTATTATCTTAAAGATTAAAAAATTGTTAAAAACATGTCAAAAATTACATTCAAGGTGAATTAAAAAGAGAAATACATTCAAAGTGGTATGCTGCATTTTTCTGTAAATTTATTCATAATAGATTAGATCTTTTGTATCATTTGATAATTTTACGATAATATTGAGCATCTCTCGGACTCTGAGCATCTCAGCAGGCAGCTGAGGAGCATTCAGAGCAAGACCACCAGGCTCAGACACAGTTTCTTCCCTGCAGCTGTCAGACTGATGAATTCGAGCAGCACTTAATTCAGCTTCATCTTACATAAAAAAATACCTATTATATATATATATATATATATATTTGTACTATTTTGTATTTGTTAATTTGTTAATTGTTAGACTTCTTGATCTGGGACCCGAGTCTGAATGTCGTACCGCAAATGTGTGCTGGTATGACAATAAAAAATTCTTGAATCCTTGAACAATGTCTGTACATAGTTAAATATTACTACAAACATTTATATATACAAAAGTTTTCATTCTTAAATGAAAAGGTCAATCAGAATTAAAAATATATTTGAGTCCATTTTATTTATCAAAACTAAAAAATTTGTTTCCTGGAAAATATATATTTTTTAGAATAACACATTTGGTTGCATTAGCTAAGGGCTTTCAGCTTGTACTCTTTTAGGAATAAACCTGGAACTACTGGCTAGAAAACTAAAAAAGCCTAATGTGTATTTTAAGAACAAATTATAAATTTAAAAATAAATATTCAGTCATAATATAGACTTCAATGACGTCACTGACATTCATCTTCCATAAACTGTTTACATCACTGTAGTGTTTCCCCTAGTATTATCCAGGGGAGTTAGGCACCACCTGCCTCCAATAAAAGCCATGGCATGTAATAACGTAATGAATGTCTGTACGTTACAAATTCACTTAGGGAGACGTCAAATCCAATACATCATTATATAGTTGCATCGTGAAGGACCCCACTCACCCAGCACACACACTTTTTGCCCCACTCCCCTCAGGCAGAAGGTTGAGGAGCATTAAGTGCAGAACCGCTTGAGTGAGGACCAGCTTCTACCCTGAAGCTGTTAAACTCATAAATCCCTAATCAGGATTTTCACTGTGAAAAAAATAAGAAAAAAATAACTGTAATGCAAGTTTGAAATTGTTGTGTGCTGCTGATTATCCACACTGCTGATCACATGCTGCTGATTTACCAGTAGTTCATGTTGCTGTGTTCATTCATACTCATCTACTCACACAGACTCATGTTCGTGTTACTGTTGTTCGACATAGTTTTTGCACTATTAAGTGTTTAACGTATTCTTAGTTTAACATATTTATTAGTTCATATTTTAGATCTTATTACTGTTTTCTTTTACAATTTACACTTTTGTTGGATGTAACTGAGACCTTGTGTACACAATTTCGTTCCACCTCATGTACCATGTGATGTTAATGACAATTTAAAAAAAACTTGAACCTTGACCATCAGTGCACTGCAGATTGAGGAAAAGGAGGAGAGGAGGAAATACATCTACACAATTATTGTTGGTTCAGTTAAACTTTATCTGGTCATGGCTTCATTATTTTGGACACAACCTAAACGCAAAATTAACAAGTGAATGAGCATTAATAGAGAAAATGGGGTTCAAACCCATGAAGCCTCTTCCATCTGCACAAAGGCAGAAATAGAGGATGAGAGCACTTTGGGAGGCAAGTGTAAGATTCCAAAGGAAGCTTTAACTGATTACAATAATACTGTATAATTAAAACAAATGTATTTGTGTAATTCAGCTGATAACCGATTGTGAAACAGTCGTCATGAAGTGCCACAGTGATAAATAACTAAGAACAAACTCTGTCACAGTGAAGCTTCAGTTAATCTGGTTTTTACAAAACCTGTGGGCTGTTTTACCATATAAATAATAGATACGTCTTAGACATCAGGCAATCAACAAGTGCATCTTAACCACAGGGTGAATCAATGTTTTTATGCTGTTGTTTTTTTCTTTTAGACCAATCGATTAATCTACTGTTTTAGTTGGTTTTCAGATAATACCCGAGGCCATAATTCACAATTAAAAATATACTGATCAGTAGAGAAGTGTGCCCATCCCAACTGGATCTTCTCTCACAAACAAAACCTTACATAAACCTAAAATGTGCACACGCACGGAGATAAAATGTTTAAAAACATCCCAACACACACCACAGAAACTCAAGGGAAAGACTGCACTGATAATGTTGTTCAAATTCTGAGAAAACTCTCATTCAAAATTGGAACAGTTGCTTCTCAATAGTGAGTTTTTATGTTTTAGAAGTAGCGCAATGCATAATGTTTTACCTGTCATTTCAGATCAGTGCTCATGTCACAAACAAAAGATTTATGTCTTATGTGGATTTTCATGTGTGTATTTAAAGTAGCCTTATGGCCAAATTTTTTCAGACAGACATCACAACTAAACTTTCTCTCTCCTGTGTGAACTCTCATATGCGTCTTTAAATGTGCTCTTTGGCTAAACCTTTTGGCACAAACATCACAGCTAAATGGTTTCTGTCCGGTGTGGATTCTCATGTGTGTGACTAAATTTGTCTTATGATTAAACTTTCGTTCGCATAAATCACAGCTAAACAGTTTCTCTTCTGAGTGGACTCTCAAGTGTGACTTTAAGTGTGCCTTACGACCAAATCTTTTACCACACGTATCACATTTAAACTGTTTCTCTGAGTGAATTCCCATGTGTCTGTTTAAATATGACTTTTGGCTAAACCTGCGGTCACAAAAATCACAAATGAATGGTTTACTTCCTGTGTGAATAATCATGTGCGTTTTTAAACATGATTTACTGATAAACCGTCGTCTGCACAAATCACAAACAAACGGTCTCTGTCCTGTGTGGATTCTCATATGTTTGTTCAAATTTGTCTTACAGCTAAACTTCTGTTGGCATACATCACAAATGAATGGTTTTTCTCCTGTGTGGATTTTCATATGTTCTTTTAATGTTGTATTATGGCCAAATGTTTTCCCACAGACATCACAACCAAATGATTTCACTCCAGTGTGGACTCTCATATGCCTGTCTAAATTTGTCTTTTGGCTAAAGCTTTGTCCACAAATATCACAAACAAAAGGTTTGTCTCCTGTGTGGACTTTCATGTGTTCATTTAAAGTAGTCTTGTGGCCAAATCGTTTTCCACAAACATCACAGCTGAAAAGTTTCTCTCCCGTGTGTATTCTCATATGTCTGTCTAAATTTGGCTTTTGACTAAATTTTTGTTCACAAACATCACATCCAAATGGCTTCTCTCCTGTGTGTATTCTCATATGTCTGTTTAGATACGTTTTTTGACTAAAACTTTTACCACAGTAATTACAGCCAAGTAATATTTGATCTTTCCTCCGAGAGTCTACAATTTTCTTAACTTCAAAACATTCTTGATCAACTGAACAACTTGAAGACTTTCTTTTAAAGTGACTTGTAATGTGTCTCTGAAGAGTCTGGTTGTTAATAAATGATTTTCCACACTCAGAACAAATTAATGATATATCATCCTCTTCATCTTCTTCACTGTCATCGTCATTGTCGTCGTCGTCATCCTCCTCCTCCTCCTCACTGACTTCAGTCTCTGAAGAGTTGGAATCATTGTCATCAGTATTTAGATCTGGGTTCCTGGTAGTTTCTGCTTCTTCACAGTCCTCTGCAACAGTTGCAGATGTCATACAGTCAGCTGAGCTGCCGAGTGACAATCCTTTGTCTTCTATTTGGCGTTCATGGTGCTGTGAGAACAAAGATTCATCTTGGTCATCCTCACTTTTCAAGTGAACAGCTAAAGGAAACCTGGTGGAAACAGACTCCTTCATCAAACCGAGCGGCTCTCCCTCCAGAGTGGTCCAGAGTTCCTCCTCTTCCTTCTTTACATGGAGTGGGCCTGGATCCTCCTGGTCCACAGAAGGCCTCCATTCTTCAGGAGCATCTTTGGTACTCAACACTGTGTGATGAACATCTGCAGGGAACATAAAATCACAAGTCCATAATGAGCACAATGATTAATTTTATATTTACACATTCGTCTATTGTGATATTACCGAGTTCAGAGTCAGAGTTTCTTTATTGCCATTCGCACCTCATGTGGTACATGCGGTGGAGCGAAATTATGTACACTGGGTCCCAGTTACATCCAACAATAAAATGTATAAGAAAAACAGTAATAACATCTAAGATATGAACTAAGAAAAACATCAACTAAATATACACTAAGCACTCATAACATAAAAACATTGAACATCAGCACAAACATGAACATGAGTCTGTGTGAGCAGATGAGCACACATGAACACATCAACATTGAAACAGATCAGCAGCAACATGAAACAGATCAGCAGCAACATGATGTGATTTTTCACAGCGATTATTCTATTTAGAGATTCATGAGTCTAACAGCCTCAGGGTAGAAGCTGTTCCTCAGTCTAGTGGTTCTACACTTAATGCTCCTCAACCTCATTCCTGAGGGGAGCGGGGCAAAAAGTGTGTGTGCTGGGTGAGTGAGGTCCTTCATGATGCAGGTAGCCCTCTTCCTGCATCTAGAGGTGTAGATGTCTGTGATGGTGGGGAGGCTGACTCCGACAGACTTCTGTGCAGCCTTCACCACTCTCTGCAAAGCTTTTCTTTCTGCAGCTGTGCAGCCTCCATGCCACACGTTGATGCTGGAGCACAGGATGCTCTCCACTGCACACCTGTAGAAGGAGGTGAGGACTGAGCTTCCCAGACCAGCTCGTCTCAGCCGTCTGAGGAAGTAGAGTCTCTGATGAGCTTTCTTGATCAGGCTGGTGGTGTTGTTGCTCCAGCTGAGGTTGTCATTCATGTGTACACCCAAGTACTTGTAGCTGGAGACCACTTCCACCGCACTGACTAAATGTCAAAACAACATCCAAAGAAAACCTCCTGAAACTAAATCTAAGACAAACTTTCTTCTGACTGGCATTCAGAAGCTGGCAAAACAAGCAAAGCCACCAGATTGTTTCAGGTTATAACAAATTAAATGAAGACTCCTAGTTGAGTGGACAGCACTTAACTTTCAGCACTACGTCACTGAGCTTGTTCAATCTTGTTTTTACTAGATGAGGGATAATGCAAGAATATAATCAAGAATAAACAGCTGTGGCTGAGTGGTTAGAGCAGTTGTCCTCCAATGCATGAGTTGGGGGTTCGGATCCACCAGCAGTCACATGCCGAAGTGTCCCTGGGCAAGAAACTGAACCCCTCATTGCCTCTGATGTGTGTCCCATCAGTGTATGAATGTGATCTCAAAGCACTGATTAGTCTCTTTAGAATTATTTGTTCAATTAGCTTTGTAGAGATCTAGAAGTGCTGTATGAATGGGTAAATGAGGTACAGCCATAGTCCTGATAAGAGGTGTGTTTGTTTATCAGCCAGCTCGGTTGAGCTCTGTCACAGGTCCGTGACCTTGGGGAAGGAAGGGGGTGGGGAGGGGGGACAGAGCGTCTTTGTTTCCATAACATCCCAAGAGAAATTTGAGGTAGTCTGCCTTCCAAGGCCAGGTCCAGATTCAGATATCAACATTGTTTTTGGGTCAGGCTGAACTCGTAAATGTCCATGTTTGCCTAAAGAGTCTCACTAGTACAGGTCCTTCTCAAAAAATTAGCATATTGTGATAAAGGTCATTATTTTTAATTATTTTCCATAGTGTAATGATAAAAATGAAACTTTCATATACTTCAGATTCATTGCACACCAACTGAAATATTTCAGGTCTTTAATTGTTTTAATATTGATGATTATGGCATACAGCTCATGAAAACCCAAAATGCCTGTCCCAAAAAATTAGCATATCATGAAAAGGTTCTCTAACTAAGCTATTAACCTAACCATCTGAATCAACGACATAACTCTAAACACCTGCAAAAGATTCCTGAGGCTTTTAAAAACTCCCAGCCTTGTTCATTACTCAAAACCGCAATCATGGGTAAGACTGCCGACCTGACTGCTGTCCAGAAGGCCATCACTGACACCCTCAAGCAAGTGGGTAAGACACAAAGAAATTGCTGAACAAATAGGCTGTTCCCAGAGTGCTGTATCAAGGCACCTCAGTGGGAAGTCTGTGGGAAGGGAAAAGTGTGGCAGAAAACGCTGCACAACGAGAAGAGGTGACCGGACCCTGAGGAGGATTGTGGAGAAGGGCCGATTCCAGACCTTGGGGGACCTGCGGAAGCAGTGGACTGAGTCTGGAGTAGAAACATCCAGAGCCACTGTGTGGGCATGTGCAGGAAATGGACTACAGGTGCAACAGCGGCAGAAGCGCCTGACCTGGGCTACAGAGAAGCAGCACTGGACTGTTGCTCAGTGGTCCAAAGTACTTTTTTCGGATGAAAGCAAATTTTGCATGTCATTCGGAAATCAAGGTGCCAGAGTCTGGAGGAAGACTGGGGAGAAGGAAATGCCAAAATGCCAAAGTCCAGTGTGAAGCACCCACAGTCAGTGATGGTCTGGGGTGCCATGTCAGCTGCTGGTGTTGGTCCACTGTGTTTTATCAAGGGGAGGGTCAATGCAGCTAGCTATCAGGAGATTTTGGAGCACTTCATGCTTCCATCTGCTGAAAAGTTTATGGAGATGAACATTTCATTTTTCAGCACGACCTGGCACCTGCTCACAGTGCCAAAACCACTGGTAAATAGTTTACTGACCATGGTATTACTGTGCTCAATTGGCCTGCCAACTCTCCTGACCTGAACCCCATAGAGAACCTGTGGGATATTGTGAAGAGAAAGTTGAGAGACGCAAGACCCAACACTCTGGATGAGCTTAAGGCCGCTATCGAAGCATCCTGGGCCTCCATAACACCTCAGCAGTGCCACAGGCTGATTGCCTCCATGCCACGCCACATTGAAGCAGTTATTCATGCAAAATGATTCCCGACCAAGTATTGAGTGCATAACTGAACATGATTATTTGAAGGTTGGCGTTTTTTGTTTTAAAAACATTTGTCTTTCATTAGTGGGATGAAATATGCTAATTTTTTGGGACAGGCATTTTGGGTTTTCATGAGCTGTATGCCATAATCATCAGTATTAAAACAATTAAAGACCTGAAATATTTCAGTTGGTGTGCAATGAATCTGAAATATATGAAAGTTTCATTTTTATCATTACATTATGGAAAATAATGACCTTTATCACAATATGCTAATTTTTTGAGAAGGACCTGTACATTCTCTCATGGCAACTCCAAACAGTCGAATTTGACTACTTGTGAAAAATTGAGCAATTCCGTTGAGAGACCAGCTGATCAAATCCATTGTTAAACATTTTGGAAGGTATGCAAAAAAAGGGGCTCTGAAAAAGGTTCACAAGACAAAGAGCAAAGCAGGGATGAGCAAATGATTTTTCCCCATGAGGAACATGAATAAATAAAGTTAAAGGTTTATCCATTCAACCTTTATTTATACAAGTTAGTTCCTACTGAGCCCCAAGGACTCATTTACATGAGAGACCTGTTTCAGTTTAAAACCATCTTACTCAAATAAGATAAAAATGTCTGTAGACTGGTTCATCCCAAAGATCCAGTCCCCCGGCACAAACAGAATAATACTGTGTATGTTGTTCAGTGTCAGAAGGGTGATCAGTCTTACATTGGGGAAACTAAACAGCCACTGGCCAAAAGGATGGCCCAGCACAGAAGATCAACATCATCAGGCCAGGACTCTGTGGTCTACATTCATCTCCGGGCCAGCAGTCACTCTTTCAGGGATGAAGATGTTCACATCCTGGATAGAAAGGAATGATGGTTTGAGAGAGGAGTAAAGGAGGCCATCTTTGTGAAAAGAAATCGTCCATAATTAAACAGGGGTGGAGGCCTCCGTGTTCAACTGTCAGCGGTTATTGCTAGTATCACTCAGCTCTCTGTGAAGAGAAAACAGCCATCGGGGTTCTAACAATCCATTGTTAAGCTGATGGCCTCCTTGATCATGTGAGCAGCTGGTTTTGAATGTCAACAACAAACTGGTTGATCCACTCTGAGAAGGTGTTATTTATAAGACTGACATGATTACAGCTCCTTAGACTGAAGAAGTCTTTCGGATGAAAGACGAAACGTTTCTACATTTTTATTATTTTTTAACCTGTCCAGAAGATCTGACTTTCCTATTTTAGATTTTTCTACCTAGATTATTGAGCATGCATCAGGATAAATACTGTCTGTAGTTACAGAAAACAAGGTGAAGTTTTTGAGCAACATGCATTCAGTTGGGACTGCTGCAAAATAAAAAAAATAAGATAAATTCATTGTGAAATGATTATTAGATTCTTGTGGAATCTAATAACAATCTTAGGTAGATTCAATTTTATTTTCAATATGCCAAACCCAAGGAACACTATTTCTTCTGGTAACATTTTTAGTGATAAAGCATTGCCACAGCTCCACCATGAAACAAAGAATAAAGTGGAAGAAGCTTTGATTAATGCTACCAGCTGCCGCTCAAAGATAACTGCTTTTTCTCATATTATACATTGTAAAGACGCTCTTATCTGCTGTGCTGTACTGCTCGATGTATCTCAACTGTATCTTGTCCTTTATCTGTATCTGCTTGGCTTTTGGATTTGCTTGCCTTTTGGTATCAACAAGTACAGATTGAACTAAGTCAGAGAATGTATTTGAGTTTGTTGTGTACAGGACATGAACTAACAGGGAGCTGCTGGTGTGTGTGTCCCGCCTGATGAAAAGATCACCAGTAAACTGGAATGGCAGAAGAAAATAATAAAACAACTCCATAAAAGGACTTCCAGGAAATGAAGACATCAGTTTGAATTAGTTTAGACAAAGAACTGTAAGAATGTGTGACACGTCTCTGAGTGGAGCTATTGTGTTTAAATACTGAAGAAGCTGAAAGCTCCAGTCAGACGTGTCTTGGGTTTTTGCTGTGTCTCTGTTGGTTTGGGATAAGAGCGTCTCCTTTCAGCTGAAAGCTTTAATAAATGTTGGTAATACTTT